GGTGTCCTGGGAGGGGAGCCTCGCCTGCTTTTACTTCCTGTCCTAGATATTTAAAGAGTGGCTTGGCACAGTGCTAGAGATAGCACGAATTAAGAGAAAAAAATGTCCTTCCTTCAACAAACTGTTTCCACACTGTTTCCAAGCAGCAGAAAAGTAGACTGACTTTTTTGCTTCTCCAGTTTTCTGGCCTTCTATCAGCCAAGACTAGGAAAAATAAGTCCAGCTGGGTCTACACTTATGAAGGTCAATTTAGACTAAAGTAGAAACAGCTGCCAGGTGCGTTTCTGTGGAACAGGGGGTTATCTACCATGAATTCAGCTGTTTGCTTTCTCTGGGAAATGGGACATCTTGTCAGAAAAGATAAGACAGGTTCTGACCTAGCTGAGGCATACTGGCCTTCATCTCTGAGATGCATCTGGATAGAAACCCTTTCTGTTCATTTCTTAAGGCTTTTCTTCACCCCTCCACATAAAAGGATCCTTAAACTAGCAATATTTGCACATACCCTGGCAGATCTTAAGTCCCTGCCACCCAAAGCCAAGAGTTGTTTTCAGTTTGGGTCATGTTGAGTTGCAAAAGGAATATGAAATCCCAGGATGACCTCCAAGGAGGAGCAGTGCCAAACTGTCACAGACAGGGTTGCCCAGAGGAGACAGGGACCTCTACTTAGACATGTCAGTGTGAGGCCAGGTGCAGATTTTTGAGGCAGAGCTGGATAGCAAGAGGAACAGGAGTAACCAGAGGGGTTTGCTCTGCTCACAAAGGCAGAGGATAGCTTTGAAGGATTAGCTGAGGTGGGCCAGGGCCTGGTGGCTCCTCTCGGTTTGGGTTCCCAGAGCTCTGGAGGAATCCTTATGACTTGAGGGCCAACTTGGTCCCCGTGATTGTCCTTACTGGGGGCTGCAGGGTCTCAGTTCCCATCATGGGGTAACTGCTCCAGCTTGGAGGAGGGGAGCTCACAACGGGGTGGTCACCAAGGTTCTGCTTTTCCTGGAATCCAAAGTGACTGCAGGTTTGAGGACTTCTAGGCATTACTCCAGGAGGATCTTGAAGTGGATGTTGTGAAAGAGGGCAAATGAGAGTCCCTGTGAATTGGTTTCTCTTACCTTGAAGTCCTCGGTCTTGAGAGGTTGAGGTGGGCTAGGGAAATTCAAGGCTAATAACCCCTGCAGTACTGACACTCCTGAGGGTTAGCTGTCCTCAAGAAGAGCTGGGGCATCTGCCCCATAGTTTTAAGGTAATGAGGGAGACAAAAAATGTGTTTCCTCATGTCCTTTCTACCTATCTCTATTTCTGCCATCTCAGAATCTTCTTAATAAGACCCTGTATGGCCACAGCTCAGCAGCCCTCCTGCCTTCACACTTCTCTACCTCCACCCACAACTGCATTCACGAATTAGGTAATGCCATATGTAAAAAATAGAACAAAACAACCTGGAGTGGAGAAGCCACATCACATGAAAGAATCAATGATTACAGCAGAATTAGAACCTGAGGCTGGGGAAACCACACACTACCTGACTTCCATCCACAGCTCTGCTGCCACAGCTGCACTCTTCCTGGGCCAGGACCCCCCACACCTGCACACCTCCTGGCACACAGACACCCTGGCATGTGTGCTGGGAGGGGACCCACTGGTGCAGGCAGAGCTGCCCCTCCCCCTAGGGGTCACCGAATGATGACCTTGACAAGCAGGTGTGAAAACAGATCGGCTTTGAAAGGAGAGCTGGGACGCTGGGGTGCACAGCTAAGCCTATCATAGGGAGGAGGCCGTTTACACCCTTTTATTCCCTGCTGACGCCTCTGAGGCTGACACACTAAACAGCCACCTCTGCACACAGGACACAGCACCCACACCTCCACTCGGAGCATCTCATTTTGCAGTGAGCCCACTGCTGGGCACCCCCGGTCCAGCCCAGGTACACCAGCCCTGAAGGCTGATGGAGAGGCAGACCGAAGGGCAGGAAACAGATCACAGATGCGGAGACAACTGGGCTCCAGCTCATTACCATAGAGCCAAACACAGTCAAAGACTCTGGACCCCAGGAAGCAAAGACAGGTTTGTGCTTTGGTGAGAGGAAGCATCCTTTGATTTAAAATTAAACAATCAGGCCATGCAGTTCACAAAGCAGCCACTCCTGCTGCTGCGAGCTCTGCTTCTTAGCTCCATGTGGTCTCGTGGGTGAATGAAGAATATGTATGGGCAAACGGAGAGAAAGCAAAGGAGTGAAATGAACAATCACCTGTCCTCACAGCCAGTACCTGATGAGGTTTGAATCTGGACTCTCCAACCAAACTATGATGAAAGGTTGGCCTTTGGCAAAGGAGATGCACACTTCTTTAGCAAAAGGGGGAGGGTACTTCAGATATCTTCAGTCTGAGAGCTACCAAGCAGGTTCACAAACTGACCTCCTTGGAACTGCAGAATGGTGGCTTATGCTCAAAACAGACTTAAGGAAAAATACTGAGAACGTGGACAAAGGAGGCCCTGCAATCCCAAAGAAGGATGGAGAGGGAGGCAGCAAGGAAAGGAAGGAACGAAGGAAACCCAAAGACAGAAATGTACAGTCACCAAGCTGTCCTGGACAATACTACCTAGCGCAGAAGACTTGTCCTGATGAATTGAATCAAGTCATTCAAAAGGGATGCTGTCGCCTATAATCCCAGCTACTCCAGAAGCTGAAGAGGACTACAAATTTGAGGCCAGCCTGGGCAACTTAGCGAGAATATGTCTCAAACTAAAATAAATAAATAAATAAATAAATAAATAGGGCTGAGGATTTAGCTTAGCACTCTCTGGGTTCAATCTACAGGGCTGAAAAAAGAAAAAAGTAGAAGAGAACATGTTGCTGTATCCCCTCCACTCAGCTCTGACTTTGGCCTTACATATCACTAAGGAGCTTTGTTTCACCACAGAGACCCCCCAAATGGGAGGTGCGAGGGGAGAAAGCTAAAGTGGCTAAGAGGAAGAGTGTCCTCCCAGGACAGAAAATGAGGCAGTATGGGCAGCACACCATGGTGTGCCACATTGTTTCTGGGGTCAGCACCCTGGAGGTGGCCCCAAGTCCTGAGGATAAATGCAGATGCACAGCTCTTAGCTCGAGGGTCTCGTCCTCAGCTCCTTCACCCACCATCCAAGCAAGAATAGCCCTGCACAGGTAGAACCAGCCTAGTTCTAACCTGTGAGGCTGTCTGATGTAACAAAGAAGCAAAGACAAGGGTCTCCTTCAGCCATCTGTTCTGTAGGCCTCAACCTGAGAGACAAGTGATGGCTGGGCCAGGTTTGAGGTTGCTGTGAGCATCTTCAACTTATTCTTATTTGGAACAATACAGTTGGTGCGACCACTACCAAGATCCAGATGGCAGAGACAGAGAACAGCAGCACCTGTTTTTCCTGCCAGGTCTCCTGAAGAGAGGTCCTGAGCATATGCAGCGGCACCTGAGTGGAGCTGGTGCAGGGTCAGGCCGAGAGGCACAGACGGTGGCATCTGCCAGACATGTTTCTGGTTACATGGGGAAGATGGTGTTGTTCCTGTCCCTGGCGTCCTCTGGGAAAATCTTGGGGCCTTCATGCTGTTCCACAAAGACTGCATCCCTAAGGCACAGCCCCTACAAACTGGATAGAGGGGAACAGGGCACCCCAGCACCCAGGATTTTCCCGTGGTCTCTGACCCACTTGCTCCCAGACTAGCGAGACCTGCACACTCAGGCAGTGTGGCCACAGAGGGCACGCCTTTTACATGGCAGGATTCCACTTTGCTGTTGCCAAGACAACATCACTGCATTCAGCAAGATGGTCCAGGACAGCATGGTGTCTTCATACACTTCCATCTTTGGGTTTCCTCCACTCCCCCTCAGCTCCCTCCCCTTTCTCTGGTTTTGGCAAAACGCTATGAACTGCCAATCACAAAGAAAGAGAGGCCACTGAGGCCCAGCAGGCAGCTCATGCCATGATGCCCCACCTTCCCCAGGCATGGAGGGTGGCACCTGGCTAGCTGGGCAAACACAGCTCCTACAAGTCCAGGTCAGCTCGAGCTGGCCCTTCCCAAGGAGTGCTGCCCCTTCCTGAGTGCCAGGACACAGCAGGGTTGACCAGGGTGACTGAGGTGAAGTAGGGAAGGAGAGGCAGCAGTGAGATCCCAGCTCCCCCAATCAGGGCATGCCTGTGCACTGTCCTGGAGCACACACAGCCCCATGCTCTGCCTGTGCGAGATGCCAACTGCATGGAGTGACAGGAAGCCAGAGAGCCTAGAAGAGACTGAGATTGCTCTGTGCTGGCGCTGGGTCCAGGAAGGCCTCTGGCTGCCTCCTGCCCTTCGGTTTTTGTTTGTTTTGGGGATTGAATGGATGAAGCAACGCTGAAACCAAGAGGCCTAGCAGCAGGAGGAAGGTGCAGGGTGCCTGGCCAGCTTGGAGGCTGCGTCTGAAGCCTGCCCAGGTCTGCTCACTGTCCCCAAACCCCAGGGTTCCCATCCACGGCCAGCAGCAGTCCTGGCCCCGCCGCCTCCTGCACACATTGCCTCTATGGCAAACCTCCTCAGACAAGACCAGGAGGGAGGTGCCATGTCGGAAAAGACGGCAGTGCCGCCCTCCCTCCTCCCTGTCGCCTCCCTTTCCTTCCCCACCAGGGAGGAAAATGTCCTCCGCTCCTGCTCTCCGATCTCAGCGGGGTCGCGGGGCACCGGAGGCCCCACGGCGCCCGAGTCCACGCGGCCCCTTCCTCCACGGTCGCGCTGCCGGGGCTGCCCGGGGATGGAAACTGAGGCAGGGGAGTAAGGCCTGCCGGTGTCGCGGTGAGAAAGGGCCAAAGTCTGAGGCTGGCGTGGTGGCGCTAAGCCCGCGACACCCGCGCCTCCTCCGATCCCCCCCGCGACCCCTCCCTACAGGCGCCCTTCCCCCTCGAGGGGCCCCCTCCACGCCCAGTCGCCTCCTCCGACAGGCACCCCTCCCCTCCACACCCCCTCTCCTCCTTGCCCCTCCACCCTGGCGCCCCTCACTCACCCAAGCGCCCCGGGAGCTGCCGGCTGCGGGGCGCGGGGGCGGGGGCGGCGGGCAGGGCGAGCGGCAGGAGCAGCAGCAGCAGGAGCAGGAGAGGTGGGAGCGGCCCCATCCCCGCGACAGGTCCAGCGCTCAGTCCATGGCCCCGCGGGAGCGAGGACCGAGGGGGACGAGCGAGGCGGCGCCAGCTGCCCCAGCCGCGCCTCTCCGCGCTCCTGCGGCGGCGCCGGGCAGAGCTTCAGCACCGGACAGCGCCACGGGCCCGCCCCGCCGCGGAGGACACGCCCCCGACCGTGGGCCGCCCGGGGAGAGCCGCCCTCGACACGCCCTCGAAACGCCCAGGCGCGGTCCAGCCCCCAGACGCGCCCGCCCCGGGAGGGCTTTGAGCTCGACCCCGCTCCGCCCCTCCTCCTCCCAGCCGGCCACCCCACCGGGCCTCGTGCGTCAGGGTTCTCGGCCGTGCAGACTCTTAGGCCCCAGAGTCGAGGTTAAGCTGCTCCCTGGCGCTGGCGAATTCATACTTCTGTTTGAATCTAGCTGGCCACACGTGGGTGCAGCTGTGGCTGAGCGTGGGGTCGCAGTGCGGTCAGGGGACCCGGCCAGAGCGCACAGGGAGCGGGAACCTCTTGTCGGGTCTGCGCAGGGTGCTTGAGGGGCCCTCAGCCGGTAGCCGGCGCCGGGAGGGCTGTTGTGAGGCCGGACTGGGGTCTGCCGGAGTCCTCCCCAACCACCTTAGACCTAGGTCCCCTGGCCCTTGTGAAGCCTCCTTGAGGGGCTTCTTTCAAAAAGACCGGGACGGGGCGGGTTCAGGAAGTAGCGTTTGGGGAATGGGAAGAGGATCTATATGTTCTGCTGTGCATGAGTGGTTGTGAGTGAGGGGTGTGGCGGGGTGTAAATGGGTGTGTCCGAGAGTATGGGTGTGCACCTTAGGGTGCCAGTTCCCTCCAACCCGTGGCCCTCTGGGTCCCCAGCCTCCTCACCTGCTGGCTCTCCCCTGCACATGCTCCTCCTTCTCCAGCCCTCCCTTCTTCCATCTCTCCCATGTCCCCTGTCACCTGGACTGGGGCATCGGGTGGCAGCTCACAGCCCAGCCAGCCAGAGCTTAGAACTTGATTTGGGGCCTACTATCCTAAAGGCCCCTGCATGCCCCACTTGGCAGCTCCTCTTCCTGTCAGTCTCTCCTTCAGGCCCTGTGCCTCACCTCTATACCCAAAGGTCTCAGAGCACCTGAGCGGGTGCCCAACCCAGAATGTTGCAGCTCTGCCTCCATTTTCTCCCTGCAGTGTTGGCCAAGTGCCTCTCAGTAGACTTGGTTTCTCCGGTGCCTTCTTTCTGGAGCATGGACTGCAGATCAGCCCAAGAGTGCTGTCATAGGGATGAATGAGACTCCTTGAGAATTTGTCCATGAGTTGATTCAGCTGCAGACTTGCTGCCCACAGCGTGTGCGCACAGGGCCCACCACCAGGTGGGCTTGGTGGTGAGAGGCCATGGAAGGCGCCAGGGAGACTGGGCAGACAGATGGAAGCCCTCTGAGGTCCTGAGAGGTAGCTTATAGATTTGGTGACACTAGACAGGGAAGATGGAGACGGGCTGGCAGAAGGTGAGGCGCTCTGTGTCTCACGGTGATTCCGCGTAGGCAGGACCAAACTGTGCTATCAGTTGTTCTCTGTCCCTGGTACAGAGGTCACTGCCGAAAGCCACCTCCCATATCACTCATTCGGTTGGCACCTGTGGCAACTCGGTTCAGTGCCTTGGCATTTACAGAGGACGCTGGGGACTGGAGGAGCTTGACAGGCGTGCCTACATCCTGGACGACTGTTTGTTTTGGACTGTGGAGTCTGGTTCCTTGTTTATTGTTGAACAGGTCCCAGGATGAGATTATTTGTCCTTTCTTTGATTGCTGCTTAAATTAAAAGTAGTTTCCTCAAGGAGGTCCTGTTTCACCCCCAAGGGCCCTGACCTCAGGACTCTGTTAAGACAGAGTTAAAAGGAAAATGTCCCAAGAATGGAGAAAGTGAAGAACTAGGAATGGGCAGGATCAGTCATCAGTAACAAAAGCAGGTGACAGAGGGTGTGGCCAACACTGCACACACAGCTTTGACTGCCCTGGGCAGATCAACCCTGGCTCTGCTAAAATGGCATAAGAAACTAAAGGCAAAGAAATGCTTTCAAACACATTCTTATTTCCTGAGCCTTCAGATGGGGAGGATCTGTCAGGGTCTGTATCTAGAAGTCTCTCAAAGCCTATGTGCGCATAGGTTGGGCTGTGGGAAGGTGCTTGGATCATGGAGACCAATAGCATTAGTGGATCACTCTTGAGAGCACAGCACAGGGAAAGCCCAGGTGAGGCACATGGGACAATGGGTTGTCTCCACTCTTTTGAAGTGGTTTCCAGATACATGAAGCTAAAAACAAGAAAGGTAAAGCGTTATCTGGTATGCCACCATTTATCAGAGAAAGAGGGCTAGCAAGCCACAGATTTGCTTACTTTTTAACAGAATAAGCTGTACACTTAGAAAATGAATTACCTATTTTGGAAATGAGCAAATACATACTCACTAAATATATCTTTTTGAAAATCTAATCTTGGCACCATGTAAATATAGGACTAAAAACAGTTTTAAACGTGCCTACAAATTGATGGTAAAAGTAAAGAAGTACCTGACTATGTACCTAGCTGGGGCAAAACGGCCACATGGCCATGTGCTCCCCTGTGGGGTCAGCCCCTAGGGCAGAAGACTGCACAAACCATGAGCTGTTCTCAGGAATCATGGGGGGGAGGTGGGTGTGTGAAAGGCTGTGCTGACAATGCAGGCTTCTGCCTGCTGAGGGATATGGCCTGCACCCAGCGAGGCAGGGCTGAACCTTGACATCCCTGGGATGACCCTGGACTCATCCTCCAGTGTTATACATAACAAAGGCAATTATCACAATTGCAGGACTTCCAGTCCTTTACAGATCCTCTTCTGACCGTGCTGGAAAGGCCACAGCCAGCCACCAGTGGCCCTGTCAGAACAACCCCTCCCAGCCACACGGCTGCCTCCAGACCAGGAGTCCTTGGAAGATGGCCCATTCCAGATCCAGTGCAGGAAGCTGGTGGGCCAGGCCCTGTAGCCCCTGCAGCCCGGCCTGGATGAGCCATGCAGTGTAAGAAAGCGCAGTAGTGAGTGGCACTGCTTCTGGAAGATGGTCATTATTTTAAATACTTGTAAATAAAAGGGGAAACCCAGCATTTTTTCCCAGACAGACTGTACAATAATCACCTACCAAACATTCCAGCTGCTGGAAGAGAGGACAGAACCCATGGTGAATCAACACACGGAGACAATCACCATCAGTAGCTGGAGTCACCATAGGGGGAAGCAATCACAGAAGCAAGTTCTGTACATGGCAAAGGGCAGGATGACCAAGAAGTGCAAGAAACAAGACAGTGATTTCTAGGAAGACAGAGGGACCCAAAAGAGACATAGAATACCAGTGCATAAGCCCTTCTGGGGTCCCAACTGAAGGAGGTATGTAATAACCAATCTGAGAATCTGAGATGAAAATATTGTGCAGTTTTTATCATAAGTGTCCTCTAATAAAATTTGAGACTGCTTCATAATTCATTTAAAAAATTTTTACTTATGATTACATTTATTGTAGAGAGTTGGTACACATACATAACACATCTTAATTCTTTGTTCATCCCTTTCAAACCCCTCCTCCCTCCCCACTCCATCTCTTGGTCCCTTTCCCTTTTAACCTAATTAACATCTCATTTACATAATTATTTGGGTATACTAGTATTATGGTTGTTTTTATGTGATATACAGGATATACTTCAAAGTCATCCAGGATTGGGAAATGGGTGAGGGTAGAAATGAAACAAGTCTGCCACACAGTTGACAAACATCCCCCTAAAAGGAAGGACAGGGCAGACAGCACAGACAGCAGATCTCCGCCATCTCCATGTGCACTGTCCTCTATGCCCAGGCACTGATACCTCCTCCCCTGTTCAGCACCCAGACCCCCGCAGGCAGGGATGGAGCTGTACAGACCTTGACCAGTCAGAGGGGACAGACCTTGAGACGCTGCAGGTCCCTGACAGAGAGACCCTTACTCGGCTGACACACCCATGGTGGCCAGAGTGCCGGCCTTTCTAAGTACCTGCTCTTAGGATGACAAGGGCCCCCGGCTGACACTGTCCCCACTCCTCGGGTCTCCACAACACAAGGCAATCAAAGTGACAACCAATAGACTGACCTGCTTGAAGAGACCAACACCCAGGAGGAGGGTTTCACTTCAGGACTGAAATGTTACCCTACCACAGAAATGGGTGAGAGACAGCCTTGGAAGATGGGCCTGGAGAGTCAGAACTAAACAGGGATCTCCTGAGGAGATGTGACGGTGGGAGACCAGGCTTGGAAAGTATAACCCTCATAGGATGCAGTCCAGAAGAAGGCATTAAGTCTTGTGGTATGTTTGAGCTCTGGCACTGCTGCCTACATCTAAAAGAAATTAGTGATCTGAAGTACTTTAGGTCAATATATGGGTGGCCTAATTGTCTTTGCTAAAATCATATTTCTCTGTTCTGTAAGCACTGTGCCTGAGGGTTGTTAATATTCAGTTGACATCTGATGCTACTGCTGTTGCTTAATTTACTACTATAGCCATATAGTACTGGCTGACAATTGGTTTTCCCTCTATGCCAATATCTGGATTGCTTGGGGGGGTCATAAATCATTAAGACAAAACGAATATACATATAAACAGGATCATAGGAAAGCAAAGCAACAGAAGACCCGCAAGGTCTCCCAACTATCCTAAAGCAGAGCAAGGGGACACAAATGGAGAGGAAAGCAAATACCCAGTAGTGCAACGATACAAAAAGGTTATGTAAGAGATGAAGAAAGAATCAGACCACTTAAAAGACCCAATCAAGATATGGGACAAGTGAAATGAACAGACACTTCACAGAGGAAGAAGTACAACTGGCCAATGAAAATATGATAAAATGTTCAACATCTTTGGCCATCAGAGAAATGCAAATTAAAACAATGCTAAGATTCTTACACCAAAGAATGGTCATCAGCAGAAAGTCAAAAAATAACAGATACTAGCATGGATATGGTAGAAAAGGAACACTCCTACATTGCTGGTGGAAATGTAAACCAGTATAACCATTATGGAAATCAGTATGGTAATTTCTCAAGAGACTAAAATTAGAAATTCCATATGACCCAGCTATCCCCTTTCTCTGTATCTTTCCCAAAAAGCCAAAGACATCATACTGTAGCCATACATGCACACCAATGTTTATAGGGGCACAATTCATAATAGCTAAATCCTGGAAGCTGTCTGTATACCCATCAGCAGACGATTAGATAAAGAAAATGTGGTATCTGTATATAATGGAATACTGCTTGGCTATAAAGGACAGATTGAAACATTTGTAGGAAAATGGATGCACTTGGAAAATATAATGTTGAATGAAACTAGATCAGACACATAAGCTTAAATACCATACAGTATCTCTCATCTGAATAAAGCAAAATACAAACAAAGAACATAATACAGGATGGATGGGAGACAAGGGGACAGATCTCTTTCAAATGGGAAAGGGTCCTAGAAGAGGAGAGGGGAAGGGGAAATAAGTAGAATAAAGATATGCCATGTGCTGAGACCTAATAAACTCAATGGATGCAAACATTTTATGTCATAAACATGAGATAATATGAACAAGAATGAAAATGGGGAAAGGAGATTTAGAGGAAAAGGGAGGAAGGTTAAAAGGGAAAGGGAAGGGGATTAAAAAAGAATCAAGCTGAATTATCTACTCCCCAAGATGACTGTGAACTGCATGTCCTGCACATATGGACTAATAAAAAAATTTTTTAAAGTTTTTTTTTTTAAAAAAAGGATGACTAGACATATAAGGGAAGCCTCTGATGAAACAGCCTAGAGCATGCAGCCTGGGAGGGGCTGGAAGCAGTGGGACAGTGGAGCCCAGAGAGAACAGGAGGAGGGCAGAGAACTGATGAGGGACAAGGCACCACAGGAGCCATGGATAACCTGCAGATGGTAAAGACAGACCACCCGGCAAACAAAGGGGCCTCACAACTCAGTAAGATGGACAGCAGGATCATACAGACAGGGAGTGACCTGAGCTGCCACTTCCCCAGCACAGGCCCACAAATACTGAGGTGTCCAGCACCTGACACCCGCAATGAAAATGAAGCCACAGCCAGTCACACTACACACCCACAGAACATGCACAACTGCACCCCGAGAACAGTCACTGTGGGACAGTCACTGAAGTATAAAACATCACGACCAGTGTGGAGAACAGGGCTAACACTTAACACACTGCCCCACACCTCCACTCCAAGACGCAAGCCCTGTGAACACACATAAAACTGCAGTGAAGGTGGATGCAACACCCACCAACAGGCAAACGCAGGGAGCCCTGTGAGCACCATGACTGCAGATTGTCTCGCCTCATAATCATCTGGGTGGGGCCAGTCATCTCCATGCATGTTACAGCTTGAGAAGCCCTGTTCTAGACAGCAGACTCATTTAAACTTTGATTACTGCATTTCCTGTGTCCTGGGACCTCCCCATTGCAGAATGCCTCCACTGCAGAAAGTGTTTAAAACCCATGTATTTGTTCTCTGTCATGTAGCCAGGCTCTGCCACTCTGATGGTAGTGCCACCAGAGGGAAGCTTTCAATCCCCCCCCACCCCCGCACCCCGAGCCTGGGATAGAAAGGACTTCAGTGCTAGAAGTGGGGTCCTAAGAAGTTAGCTGGGAGGAGAGGTAGAGTGCCAACTGAAACATCTGTGCCTAGCAGCAGTTGCGAGACTCATCCTCTGTGTGGCCATGAGGCGCAGCTTTGCTGTCAACTCCCAGCCCCGGTCAAGGTCTCCTGAAATTATCAGGGGTTAAACAAACCACACCCCCTTCACAAAGCAGCACAGCTGCAAGAGCTCTGCCTACTGCACACCACTCCCAGGGGCAGAGTGTTGGAAAGCCTTACATAAACAGCCTGTCATTCAAGGTACCTCTGGACATTTTCACTACCATGGGGTACATGGCTGCACAGAGGCAAGCCAGCTGGTGAATGTGGTCTCTGTTCACGGTGGGCATGTACCCAGCTACAAAATCAGTCATGGCATTCCTGTGGGAAAGGGGGAGAAAGAATAATGAGAGAGAGGTATCAATCTCTTTCTCAGTTAACTGCCTGATAAATTAGCACATACCCTTTCCAACAAGCGACTCCAATGTATCAGTATCAATAGAAACGTATTCCCAGTACAATGTCACTTACCAGAACACAGTTCAGTTCACAAATGTGTCCAGAAAGTCCTGTTTTCAAAATCAGCTGAACCAAGCTGCAGTACTACTCCAACCCCCACCTGTTTCTCAGATGTACTTTGGCAAAACCCTAAATGCTCCTCAGTATAGCAAGTCTCTTGTATCTTCTCAGGGATGCACAGATGGAACCCTGGGATTTCTTAACCCTCTTGCTCAGAGGCTGAGGAAGATGAAACGAACATGAAGGTCAAGCAGCACTCACCCTAGTCTGTTCCAAGGTATTTCCCACCAAGACCACTTGGTGCCGACAGCAGGGAAGAAGAGATCACAAACGATGATAAACAGCTCCGGGTGTGACAGTGCTCAGACAGAGGAAGACAGGACTCAGTGGTCCTTTAGGTGAATACACACCCTGAGCCATCATAGCCACGGTGCAGGACCCCTGGCAGCCTGGGGGTGGGCAGGTTGTACCAGAAAGCTGTTGGCCCCACAGGAAAACTCACAAACATTTAAATGAAGCATTGCTTTATTACTGTCTGCAAGAAATATTGCATATATATAAAAAGTCATTTTTAAAATAACCAAATTTGTTGGAAAAGTGTCCTTTTGTTTCTTTGCACCATGGATTTCAGCACCATTGGCACCTAGAATCCTCTATGTGAAATACATTATCTATGCAGGCACTGAGCAAACCTTCAGGAACTTCTGAGTTCTCAGCTCATACCCGCTTCTCACCCTACCCTATTATCAACATTAATAACCAGGAAAACACACACACATTTCACTTTTGTGAGTCCTTTTCCCACTTCTCCATATCCAAAGATGGGGGCTTGGTCAGGAATTCAGAAGTTCTCCCAAAGTCCTCATGGATGACTCATAAAGAAACCTGGAACACAAAGAAAAGACTCAACAAAGAAAAAGTGCAAAAGTACATGTTTTCAAAACACAGTCTCAGGCCGAGGATTTAGTTCAACAGCACTGCGCCTGCCTTGCAAGCGCAAGGTCCTGAGCACAATCCCCAACACCAAAAAAACCCAACAAAATACAGTCTCAATCTGGTGTGCAACAAAGCTGAAGTAATTTATGCCTGCCTTGTGCTACGCAGATCAGAACCCTGCCCGAGAAGAGCCTGGCACTGGTGCCATTGGGCACCAACTGTGCACCTCTGCACAGGGTGCCCACAGAGTGATCCCAAGGCAGCGAGTGCTCTCCTCAGAAGACCCACAGCACAACACATGCTCATCCCTCTTTCCCTCAAATCTGTCCTGAGCTGCTCTCTACTGCACAAGAAAACAAGACACGTAAGCTTAACCAGCACATTTTCTCCTATATGAGAAACTCAAAGCATAGATAATTAAAGAGCAAACTAAAAAAATAATAGGAAACAAGGAGACAGATCTTTTTCAAAAGGGATGGGACCAAGAGACAGAAGGGACAGAGGAAGGGGATGTGAAAAGAATTGAGATGTGTCATGGACATGTACCAACTCCCTACAGTGAATTTTGTAATCATGTACTGCAAAAGTGTACTAATAAAAATAAACATTTGAAAACATAAAATGAAAACGAGAAACAGGAAACCTAGGTCATCCACCAGCATGGACATGACCTTGCTGGTTTATAGCTGCCAACCCGGCCCTGTGTTCGCTTGCAGCGTCTATTTCACTTCACTGAGGACAGCCTGCACACAGAGCCAGTACGATGTTGCTGTTGTGGGTTTAAACATATGTATTTGCAGACTGCCAGTTCCTTTTTCTCTACTGTCTCGTAACTCCAGGGTGATCCAAGGCATGTTGCGTGGTGAGTCTGTTCCCAGGGCCCCTCCTCAGAGATAATCTCCACATCCTTCTTCCACCCCAATCACTCACTCAGCTGGCTCTGACATCCTGGATCTCCCTGACCTTGCCCGCGACAGGGAGCCTCAGGCCAGAACCACATTCAGTGCTCTGCCATTTCAGATGTTCTGGAAGGTTATTACGAGACTGAGAGAAACTGGCAAAATCTACTTCATGATGTTTTCTGTAACCCAATCCATCCCAACACACATCTACCTGTCAGTCAACATAAGGTAATCACTGAAGTCTTACACCCTCTGGGGAGTTTCCTTCGCATTAGCTCTCTGGGCCACTGCCCATCCTTCCTGCCATCAGCAGCACAGCTGCCCTTGTGACAGTGCTCGAGGGACCACTGGACGCAGAGCCTGATCCTCACAGCCACCTCTGCTCTGGATATCCTTTTGGTGAGTAATGTGCTGGTAATATAATCATAGTTAATTTGCAAAGTGGGAAAAATCCATGAAGTAACACAAATCTTTAAAGACTATTCATACTTTGTCACCTCAAATTACAAACTTGCCACTGTCTTCATATTATTAAAGTAATAAATATAACATACTCTTCATTTAAATGCAACAGTGCAGTGGCAAATGCACATTGTTTCTCCTGAGGAAACACGTCCAATTTACAGCAGCCCATACTGACTGAGGAATCAAACCACAGTAAGAAGCACTTTTTATTCAGCACCCAACAGACCAATGCCAAAACACCAGCCCTGCTAGGGAGGAAACAAACTAGTCACTAAGAAAATGCTCACTTCTACATTAGTGCCCACTGCCTGAAATACTGCCTGGAGCAAGATGCTTACTTGCGCTGGTGTCTCTAGTCCAAACATTAAATCAATACCACTTAAAAATACAGTCCTGGGCTGGGGTAAAGCTCAGTGGTAGAGCACTTGTCTAGAACCCAAAGGTCCTAGTTCAATCCCCAGGACTGCAAAAGGAAGAATAAAAATGTACCCTAAAATCTCAATGTTTACCTCCCGTTAAACTGACTTTTTGTTTCATTTAGTTTTCAGACTGATTCTTTTTAGCACTGATTTCACCGCAGACTGCTTCAAGCCTATTAATTAAGAATGAGTATTTTTCCACATTTCTTTTTCCCACTTGTTTCCTGAGGAGTTTCCTCCTTTCAGGAGAACTCTTCCTTCTGTCCTCAGGTCAGCTGAGTAGGGAGGATGGCAGGCACTGGTGCAAACGGGGGAAACAGTGTCGCAGCCATGTGTTACGTCCTTAGGCCCTTTTCTCACAGTTCAAATTCAGCCTGAAAGTATGTGCAAGTGGAAACAAAAGACACCCTAACAAGGAGCAAGCATTCCTCCCTCATCTTCGGCGTACTACAAACACTCCACATGCAAGCGGCCATCCTTGCCAATGCTATTTCCAACAAGGAAATGCTGGAAAATGCTTGGACTTCTGAGAATGCTGCTATGTGTCGTGAAATAATAGGACATTCCTGGCTGGTGATTCTGATCACCCTATTTAATCCTGCCTCTGGAACATGTGCCCCTTCATCTCCAGAACCGATCATTTTCCAAAAAAATTCATAAAGCTGATAGTCTGCCAAGGTTCTTCTTAAAACACAGGATGGCAAAGTTTACCTGCATTAAAGAGAAGTAGTACTCAGCTGTTTGAGAATGAAGTACAGAATTAAATGGATCTCCTTTACTCACACCCAGCTGCCCTGCACTGCAGCCTGCTCAAGGTCTCCCCCACCGGCCATGGAAGGACTGACGATCCAGGCTCCCGGGTGGCTGGGCTCCAGCTCGGGCTTCACTCTTGACTTCACTGAGGGATCCAGGTCCCAGCACTGGGGCTCCTCCTGCGGCCTCTGCCTCCCATAGGGTAACCTTTAGAATTGTCTTAATGGTCCATCACACCAATCCTGGTAAGAATTCCTGGCTGAGCTTTCTTGTCCAAATCATTGTGTGTCTAGCTGCTGATTCTGCCTGGAACTCGACATGCACAGAACAAACTGTGGTTCTGATATCCAAATAAACAGACCTGAGGGAGAAGCAACCCTAGAGACAAAGAGGGGCCTCCGTGAGAACAACGGGTCAAATGATTGAGAAGACATTCATGTATCAGAACAGAAGACCTACAATCAATCACCCGAACGGCTATCTCAGGAAAACAGAAAGAGAAGGGCATATTAAATTCAAAGTAAGCAGATGAAAAGAAATAATAAAAATTAAAGCAGAAACTGGTACAACTGAAAAACAGGAAGTCGGTCAAGAAAAATCAACAAAACCAAAAGCTGGTTCTTTGGAAATACAAATAAAATAGACAGGCAAACCTTTTAGAGATGAATCCAAACTGGAACCCAAAACTCACTTATTTATTGCAAAGTGCCAACACTGCAATTAATCCTGAATACTGAGGTTTTAGTTTAGAAAACACCATACAACTTGTGACATCGCAGAGAAGGCTCTGTGTGCTTGCTACAGCACACATGCCATAGGTTCACCACCACTGTTCTAGTGAGGCTGATTAAGAAAAAAAAGAACATGCAGATTACTAATGTCAGAAATGAAAGAGAGAACATCACTACAAATCTTATGGACATTGAAAGGATCAATCATTAATTTGACAACCTATATGACATAAAACATTTTCCTTCTTTGAGTCAGGGTCTTGCTGTGTCACCCAAGTTGACCTCAAACTTGCAGTGCTCCTGCCTCAGGCTCTCGAGCAGTTAAACCAGTTTATTCTTTTCTGGGGATGAAACCCAGAGCCTTGCACATGCTGGACAAGCATTCTACCACTGAGCTACATCCCCAGTCCCACTTTAATTTTATTTTGCAATCCTCCTACCTGAGCCTCTCAAGCAGTTAAACCAACTCTTGAAAGACACAATCTGTTAAAATTTAACAAAAGAAATAGACGATCTGGAAGATAATGATATACAGTGTAGTAACTATGGTCATTCTCTTATTTGATTATGAAATTTTATTTTATTTTCTTCATAAAAAATTTAGAAAATAAAGACCTATTAAGACTCAGAAAACCAACTGAATAGGTCTAAATCTATTAAAGAAATTCAATCAATAATTAATAACCTTCTAAAACAGAAAGCACCAAACCCAGATGGGTTTACTGATGAATTCTACCAAATGTTTAAGGAGAAAAATTATACATATTCTTTACAATTTCTTTTAGAGGATAAAGAGAGTATTTTCTAATTACATGAGGCCAACACTACCTTAATACCAAAACCACACAGATATTACATAAAAAGAAAATGACAGACTAGTATCTCTCATGAATATAGATGCAAAATTCTACAACAAAATATTACCAAATTGCATCTAACAATGCAGAAAAAGAGTTAGATATCCATGACCATGTGGGATTTATTTCTGATATGCAAGGCTGGTTCAACACACAAAAGCCAGTTTACACAGTCCATCAGATCAACAGGCCAATGGAGGAAAAGAACATATGATTATATCAATAGATTCAGAAAAAACACGTCACAAATTCCAACACCCATACACTAAGAATGGAGAGGGCTTCCTCAACATGATAAACAATATCTGCAAAAAATCTATAGGTATAGGGTAGAGGATTTAGCTCAGTGGTTTTGCCGCCTGCTGCGCAAGCGCAAGGACCCGAGTTCGATCCCTGGTACCAAAAAAAAACCAAAAAATAAAACTATAGCTATAACAGTTAACTGTGCAAAATTTAGTTTCCTACTACAATCAGACAAAGGGAAGGATGTACCCTCTCATCATTTCTACTGAACACTGAACTATAAGTCCTACTTAATGCAATTAGAAAAAGGGAATAAAAGGTATACTGATTGAGAAGGAAGAAACAAGACTGTCTTTGTTCAGATGACATGACTGCACAAAGTCAAAAGGATCAACAAGAAAGCTCCTGAGAAAAAAAAAAAAGAAAGAAAGCTCCTGAGATAAGCAACTATACTAAGTTTGTTGGATACAAGATTAACAAGCTGGATACAAGATTAATATGCAAGTTAGTCCCTCTCCTACATACCAGGAATAAATGGAATATGAAATTAGAAATGCAACACCATTTTCATTGGTACCCATAAGAATGAAATATTTAGGTATAAATCTAACAAAATATGTATAAGATGTACATGATGATAACTATGAAACTCTGATAAAAGATATCAAGGAAGAGCCAAACAAATGGAGAGAGATCCCATATTCATGGATAGGAAGATTTAGTACTGTCAAGACGTCACTTCTCAACTCGATCTAAGGATTTATGCAATTCCAGTCAAAATCCCAGCAAACTATTTTGTGGCTATTGACAAACTTCTAAAGTTTATGTGAAGAGGCAAAGATGCAGAATAGCCAACTTGAACTGAAGTACAAAGTTAGAAAACTAATGCTACGCAATTTCAAGACTAACTATAATGCTACACTAATCCAGACTGTGCAGTATTGGCAAAAGAATGGACAAGAAAGTCAATGGAAAAGAACAGAGAGCTCAGAATTACACCAACATGAATACAGTCAACTACTACTGACAAAGAAGCAAAGGCAATTCAATAAAGCAATAAGAGACTTTTCACCAAAGAATGCTGAAACAACTATAGAGCTCCTTAAAGATTACGTAGGAGAGGATCTTAGATTTTCGATTCTTAGCCTTGGATTAGTCGCACCACTGGCTTCCTTAATTCTTAGTACTCTAGACTCATACTGAGCCACGCCACTGACTTCTCCGGTTATGTCACTTCCATAGGTAGCATATGGTGTGACTTCTCAGCCTCACACACACAAACAGATATATGTATTGGTTCTGGGAGTTCAGAGGGAGGGTGGGATGAGCAGACAGCACAGAGGATTATGGGGCAGTTGAGCGACTCTGCACAATGCTACAGTGGTGGATACAGGTCATCATACATTTGTCCAAACCTTCACAGTACATGAGACAAGTGTGAACCCTAATGCAAGCAATAAACTCTGGGGATAATGATGTGTGTCCGCCAGCTTGTCAGTGCTAATAATTTGTCAGCTCATCACTTTGGTTTATTATATCAAAAGTGGGGGTTTGTGGACATGCACGGGAATGAAGATGTATGGAAAATCTCTGTACCTTCATTTCAGTTTTTCTATGAACCTAAAACTACTCTTATTAAAAAACAAGAAACTTAAAGACTCTTTGTATGTGTAGTGCCCAGGCCTCTACCACTGAGCTTTATCCCAAGACTAAAAACAATTTTGTTCTTTGTGAAGATGAAATCAGTTAGTAAATTAAATGGAAATGTTTCTATCCTTACACCTTAAGGCTTTTAACCACCTGACTGTAAGCAGCAGGAATGAAACCACAATCAAACATGCTCAGTTTTCGTGTGGTCACAGCTGGAGGATATAGCACGCCGTACCTTTCGAGGCTGTCCTCTTCCAGTGTAATCTCCATGAATGTCTTTAGCTTTCTGTGGACAGTGGCTGCAGCCTCCTTCACTTCTGAACTTCTGTGTTTACCTAGGAGAAGATTGAAGACAGAGAAAATGTTACCACACAGAAGCAGATTCACTCTGCCATGCACATGGTTGATTTCCCCTTCCCTCCAACGTGACCTTACAGTTGTAGGATGAGAGCCATCCCTCACAGGGTGCTGTGAAGGCTGAACACTGGTAAGACCACATCGGCTGCACAATGACGTCCACAAGGACGGTCCATGACACCAAAAAGAAACGACTCAGTAATTCTGAGTCATTCACCAGTTTAAATCAACTCTGAAGTGCCTGTTAAGTGCCAGGCATGCAACACCCCAAGCTCCAGCCCCATGCCTCCTGGTGAGGAACACTCCTCGTTCTGTGCAGTTCAGCTCCAGGTATGGGGCAGGATTCTCTCTTTGTGCCCAAATTGGGTCCAGCAAGTTAGAAAGTATCACAGACTGAGTATTCCTAATCTGGAAATCCAGAATCTAAAATGTTCCAAAATCGGAAACTTTTTTGGTTTTTTGAGACGGGGTCTTGCTTTGTAGTTCAGGCTGGCCCTGAACTCACTATGTAGCCCAGGCTGGCCTCAAACTTGTGGTGATCCTCCTGCCTCAGCCTCTCGAGTGCTGGGATTATAGGCATGCCAACATACCTGGTGCTCTAACATTTCAGACTTTGATGCATTTCACATTTTAAATTTTCAGATTAGGGACTGTCAGTAGTCTACACAAATACAGTGGTACCTCACTTCACAAATGCTTTTGTTTGCTAACAATTTGGTTTGAAAACAAAAGCTTTTGGCAAAATTTTTTGTTTGCAAACTATATCAGGTGACAAACACAACCATGGCCACCTTTCTCACACAAACACAAATGTGGCCATCTTTTCCAAAATCATGGAACAAATTAAGTTTGTGAACAGAGGAATCACTGTATTCCAAAATCTGAATGACTCTGATCCACAAGCATTTGGGGTACAATTACAGGTATTATCAATTTACACCACACATTCAGGCTCAGGGGGAGAGCCTGCCTCACAGGAACAATCTCTACGTGCAACATAGTGAGTTTGAGAATGAAGTCAACATTACCAGACGGCACCACTGTATTTCACAGAGGTGGGCATTGTACAGGTATTGCTAATGATTATTCCAATACTATTTCAACTGGGTGAAATATTCAAAATAGGCATTATACCAACATGTCCATCCATTATTAACAAAAATAAATTTAGATTTTCTTTTTCATTCTCACCATGTTGGCTGGCTTTAAACTCCTGGGCTCAAGTGATCCTCCTGCCTCAGCCTCCTGAGTAGCTGGCCCCACAGCCTGTACCACTGTGCCTACCCAGCAAATCAACAAAAATTCAATTCTGAGCAAAGAGAGGGATGCTTAAATGTGCCCAACAGCAGATGGTGAGAGGTGGAAAGGAACTAAATGGTAAAAGAGTAGGAAGCTTGTGCATACAAAGGCAGGCTAGGGAAGGAGAAGCCTGCCCTGGTGGGGAAAGGTCAATGGGAGATGAGTGCCCCTCACAGTGAGGTGAAGTATACCCAGCAACACCCCAATGCAGCACAGAAAATGTGACCAACCTTTGTTAATAACCAAAATAATGTGCAGAACTGCAGTAAGGCAAACAATGCCTTCAATATCGCCAGATGTCACACATGCCTTTAACTCACTCAAAAATGACCTGTAGAAATCAACAAGCATCAGCAGTTACTTCAAGGCAGATGTCTAACACAAGGCAAGGCTTATCAACAATCAATGCCACTTTTCAGGTGACATGGAAAATGGACCCAACTCCTCTTCCACTTTTTACTTACAGCAGGCCAAGTCATACAAGTGAGTCATTGAAATCAGGTGATAAGCCGGGTGTGTAACCCCAGCTCTCTGGGAAGCTAAAGGCAAGAGGACAAGTTCGAGCCTAGCCTGGGCAATTTATCAAGAGCCTTATCGCAAAATAAAAAATAAAAAGAACAGTGGGGAGGTAGCTCAGTGTGAAGGCCCTGGGTTCAATCCCCAGGACCACCAAAAAAAAAATCCATACACATGACAGTTGCTGGAAAAAGAAAAGGAACATTGTAGCAAGTGAGAACACGCTACTCTGTACACCCTCAATGCACACACAAAAAAAGTTAATAAAAAAAAGTAACTCATAGCTGTCAATGCACCTGCTAGAAAGCTCCAGGGCTACGGGAGCTGTCAGCCACTCCCTCTGCATCTTGATCCTTGTGTAACACAGCAGACCCTGGAGTCCACTCAGTTGACACAGGAGGAAATGAGTCACAGCTGTGCACTGAACACAACTCTGCTGAGGCTTAACTTGATGAAGTGTTTGAAGTGTTTTGAAAGAGAACAGTAGTCAATATGTTACCATACTCACATTTTTTCCCTCTTCACTGAATTTCAGTTACAGTAACATAACCAGAGACTAGATGAAAATTTTTTATAGAAAATTAGAGGGTTTTCTCGTGTAAGTTTAATGTAAATATTTTCTATCACTGATAAGATGGAGGAAAACATTCTATGGAATAATTTTCTCAAAGAAAAAAGATGTAGCTTTGAAAATGTGAAAGTAAAGCCAGGGATTTAGCCCAGTGGTTTCGCTGCCTGCTGCGCAAGTGCAAGGACCCGAGTTCCATCCCCGGTACCAAACCGCAACCCCCCCCCCAAAGAAAGTAAAAGGGAATCTGATGAGACAAAAAGTTTGGAACCCATGAAGAGAAGATGATTACCTGACCACGTTCGAAGACTTCATTATTATTCCTATTAAACACCTTGAAAATGGTGGAAGGTCAGCTAGACACTCTGGTGGGGTTAGCTCTTCTACATCAGAAACCTAAAACAAGTTTCAAATCAGTAAAGAGTAAATTGAGGCTGAGCTAACTGCTTATTTTGCATTGCTCTGGGTTTTCTCCTATACCAGATAAAAGCATTCCAGAAACTTAAAAGAATGATTTTATTAACATTGAAATGTCTACAATAATTATGAATCATCTACAGAGAAGCCTTACTCAATGTGACAGAAATAAAAAACATGTCCCTCAGCAAGCCTTTTGTCTAATGGTCTGCGATATCATCTTCTGTAAAGTTTCTGGGTCAAGCTAATTCCACTCTTTCTTCTCCTGTGGCTAAGAACTTCTCAGTCTCAACACAGCAGCCCCCATCCTGATCTCTGTGGTGCCACTGTGCTGTGCCTGGCCTGGGAGGCCTCAGTGCCACAGTACCTCTTGCCAACGCCTGGAGGGGTGGAGCCCGCAGTGAAATGGCTGGTCCACACCTTCAAAGCACCTACCTGATGACACTTTTTACCGTCGGCCACACGAGGTTGTACAAGTTGTCCAGCATTGGGGAGTGAGTTCCTTAGCAAATGGCTCCTGTTCTAAATCCAGAACTCCCCTCCCCAGCAAGGCTTACTGCCATTGTTCTCCACCTATAATCGCTGGAGTGTGAAAAGGCCCATAGCATCTTCTATCTCTCCTCCACTGTCTTTTACCTTATTCTTGGCTATCTTTGAGATTTCCTGTCAGCAGAACAGACTTCTTGTAAGCCTTCCCATATTTCCTCTGTTAGAGTTGTAACACAAATTTGAATATTAAGGAGAATCATCATTACATACAAAACAGCACCATTTATCATTGCAATGATTCAATCTTAAAGTGTCAGTAAGTGAGGCATAGCGCACACCTGTAATCCCAGCATTCTTAGAGGCTGAGGCAGGAGGATCCAAAGTTCAAGCCCAGCCTAGGGAACTTAGTGACTCAGTGAGACTCTGTCTCAAAATTTTAAAAAGAAAATTTTAAACAGCATTGGGGATATAGCTCAGTATCAAGGCCCTATGTTACATTATAAAATAAAAACATAAAAAATTAAAAATAAAGTATAGTAAATGTATTTCTATACAATGAGACAACAATATTAACCAGTTAAAAACTTAATAAAAATAGATCCTGATATTTTAAGCCAGTATGGGAGTGAAACATGATCACAGGAAGACAGGTGGAAGGATTCTAGTAGGAAGAATACTGTCACAAGATTCCTACAAGGTATGTGGTGATGCTGACTGCTGAAGGTAGGTGTGATAAGTGTAACATGCATATACTAAACCCTCTAGAGAAGCCACCACAATATTACACTAAGAATAATATAAAGTCAACAGAGAATCTAATAAAAACAGAGCAGTAAAAACATCTGATTCAACAAAAATGGCAGGAAACAACAACAAAAAAGAACAGAGAAACTAATAGAGCAGATGGGACCAAAGGAAACAAATGCTGAAATAATTGGCTTAAGTCTAAACATATCAATAACGTCACTAAATTAAATAGGCAACAATTGCCCCAAGTAAAGGCAGTAACTGTCAGACTGGAGTTTTTTTATTTTTTTGTTTTTAATTTTTAATTTTTATTTTTTTGGTACCGGGGATCGAACTCCGGTCCTTGTGTTTGCAGGGCAGACAGCGAAACCACTGAGCTAAATCCCCAAGCCCCCAGATTGGAGTTTTTAAAACCACTCATGCGGTGTTTAGAAAAAACACTTTAAATATAAAGAATGATAAGTAGAAGTAAAAAGATCAAAACAGATATGCTAAGTAAACTCAAAGCATAAGAAAACTGGTGTGGCTATGAAAATATCAAAATGGACTTCATGAAGAAGTCTATGCACCTGGTAACAAAGCTCCCAAACACATGAGAGGAAAGCAAGCAGAACAAATGGGAAGAGAAACAAACCTACAATCACAGACCAAGCATGCAGTGGGAGACAGCACAGAGGGCAGCGGCACCCCCAGGAGGACAGGAGCACCCCAGCTATACAGGAGCTCAGCTCCATGGCACAGCACAAAGCAGCTCAGAAGACACAGAGCAAACACCACATGTGTTCCACAGGACGGAAGAGCTGGGGCAAGGCAGGTTCGGCTGAGGCATTAATGATATAACTTCAGCTATGAAGCTCAATGGAATAAGTCACTCCTAATTTTATTCTGTGTCACTTAGCAATTACTTTCCTAAACTAGATGACTTCCCTTCAAGCTTGATAGTGGGCCTTAAATTCTATTTAATGATTTAGAATTTAGTAAACATCTTTTTAGGCACAATTTTATGTTACAAAATCTATATAACTTTTAGGCACATACAGTCCTGTGCTATGTATCAATGTCTTGGTAAACAAGGCACAACAGGTAAAAGGTATCCAAAGACTGTTCCATCTATGCCATCTATGTCAGCAACTCCGGGATGTGGTACCTCGAGATCATCCAGCAACATGTCCCTCAGACACATCAGTGGCTACATAGCACATGACCATAAGCAAACGAATGGAACTCAGTGACACTTCCCTCCAGAGGCCACTCATCGTCACCTCTGCTCTCTGCACAACTCAGGCCTCACAGGCATCCTCTCCAAGAAGGAATGGACACCCTGCACTTTCACCTGGCCAAATAGACTCATAATTTCTGTATTAATAATTATCTTCTGAGGACATATGAGGAGGCAAAGACTTCATGAACAAAACACAGACCACACGGGAAATACTACAAAGAATCAACAACTGGGAACTCATCTTATTAAAAAGCTTTTGCACAGCAAGAGAAACCAAGAGAGTGAAGAGACAACCTACAGACTGGGAAAATTTTTACCAGCTATTCAGATAAAAGACTATTATCTAGAAGATAAAAAGAACTCAAAAAAATAAGACCCCCCCCCAAATTTAAAGACCCAATGCAAAAATGGGCATCTGAAATGAAAAGACACTTCTCAGATGAAGAATTAGAAACAAATAAATATATGAAAGTGTTCAACATCACTGGTCATTCATGAAATGCAAATTAAAACAACACTGAGATTCCATCTCACTCCAGAAAGAATGGGTGCTTTCAAGAAATCAACCAACAACAAATATTGGATGGGTTGTGGGGAGAAAGGAACCCTGCTCCACTGCTGGTGGGAGTACAGACTGGTGCCACCACTGTGGAAATCAGTGTGGAGATTCCTCAAAGAACTAGGACTAGAGGTTCCTTTTGACCCAGCTGTATCTCTTCTTGGTATCTTCCCAAAAGAATTAAAAACATCATACCACAGTGATATATGCTCACCCATGTTTATAGCAGCACAGTTTGTAACAGCTAAATCTTGGGAACAGCCCAAATGCCCATCAACTGGAGACTGGATAAAGAAGATGTGAGTTTTTTATACAATGGAGTACTACTCTGACATAAAGAAGGATGAGATTCAGACATTTATAGCTAAATGGATGGACTTTGAGACCATACTCTAAAGTGAAGTAAATTGGACACACATGTTTAATTTAAATACTGCATTGTTTCTCTGGTGTGAGAAAATGAAAGTGGAAATAAGGACTGAGATGTATAATGGATGTTGGGAAATGGGAAAAAAGTGTTCACGTGGGAAGGGGAACAAAGGAGGAGGGAGGGAGAAAGGAAGGAAGGGACAAGAAAAAAAATGAAAATGGAAAAAATGGGAACAAAGCTTCTGTACATAGGAGAGGGGGCTTGGGAGGGGAGAGAGAAAATAAAACAGGGCCAGGGATTTAGCTCAGTGGTTCCGCCGCCTGCCTTGCAAGCACAAAGTCCCAAGTTTGATCCCCAGTACAAAAACAATTAAATAAAATAAAACTTATTTAAAGAATCACAGTGAACAAAATAAAGGATAGCTAATAGGAAGTAAGGCAAGGGGAAACAAATAGGGCAAATGACAAGGGGAACAAGAGATGGGGGAGGAGGGAAGAAAGGGAAAAGAGATTAAAAAGGAAAGAAAAAAATGGAACTAGAGCTTTTTCAAATGGGAAGGGGGCTAAGAGCAGGAGGGATCAGGGAGAGATGGGAGAAGAAGAGGACAATAAAAAATTAAGATGCGTTATGGACATATACAAACTCCTTGTGATAAATGTAATCATTATGTACTGCAAACATGTTTATAATAAAAAAATTTTTTTAACTATGAAAAAAAATTATCTTCCATCCAACTATAGTTACTAAGAGAACAAGCCAGGATGCACTAACAAGTGATCTACTGAAACTGATGTCAGAAATTTAAATCTCCTATGCTTAGAAATGAAAAACAGAAAGGTAATGATACAGCAGGCAGTGATAAGAATTACTACATTCTACTCACCCCTAACTATCCCCACTTTCATCTCGAGGAAATAATCTTAAGAAATGAATCAACTCAGCCAGGTGTAGTGCCACACGCTTGTAATTCCAGCATTCTGGGAGGCTGAGGCAGGATTGAAAGTTACCCAGCCTGGGTAACTTAGTGACTTAGTGAGACCCTGTCTCAAAATAAAACAACAAAAAAGGAGTGGGGATGTAGTTCAGTGTGAAGGCCCTGGATTCAAGACCTAATACCACTACTACCACCACCACCACCCAAAAAACCGACCAACTCATTCAAGCCCCTTGGTGTCCAACCTTTAGGCTTCCACAGGCCACACTGAGGGAAGAGGAATTGTCTTGAGCAGCATACTAATTAATTAAGAAAATTTATTGGTCTGCTTAATACCCACCCATGAATGCTGTCTTCATGGGCACATGCTTAGGTAGGGTGAAATAGTATCATCCGTGAGCACTGCATTTTACTTGCCAAGTCGCACAAGCACAATCTATACTTAAGCACCGTGCAACCGAGTCGTGAAAAACAACACTAAAAATCACACATTAACCACTGGTGGAACATCCATGACTATCCCAATGGCCAGCTTGTACCACTGGTGGTACAAAGGGATACGAGAGGAACAGGAAAAAAAAGAAGCAAGACTGCACAAGTGCAAGGACACAAGTTCGATCCCCAGTACCAAAAAAAAGAAGCAAGATACATCATAGATTCCCTATGATGAATGTTATCATGTATATCTAAATTGTACCAATAAAATATAAAAAACAAATAAAACAAAACAAATCAGAGGCACTTGACAGTGAGACATATGAATTGTGGGCCCACTGTGAATGTGTGAACCTTAAACTCGAAGTTTACATCTTATGATCTTATGAGGACCCTTTACTGGCTGCCCAGGGTTGCAGGCTGGACATGTGTGCCCTGAAATGCAGCCAACACAAATGCCCCAACATGAACTGCCTCTATCTAGTCCCTGGCACACTTCCCACCATCACATGACTCCCAGCTGCCATCGGCCTGAGAGAGGAGTGCAGCACTAGGAAAGCACACCGCTCTCCATGGAAGGGTTTAGGTCTGAAAACTGAACCTGCTGCCAGTAGGAATGGCATTCTGTAAGCCAAAAAGAGGCTGGCTGGTTTCAGGATCGGCGCACCTTACCTTCCGCAGCTGGTGGCTGATCTCAACCACAGGTGCCGCGATCAGAGTAGAAAGCATGCCCCGGTGGACTGGACTGTCCTTGTGCCACGTCTGCACAGTGGTTATGAACTCATGCAGGGGGAGCTGCACAGAATAAAGGAGCTGGAAGAAAACACATTAGTCACTGTCAGTAGAGCTGCATTACCTTGGTTTAAAAAAAAAAAGACTTCAAAATGAGCATTCTTAGCTGGAACTGTCACCCATTTAAACATTTTTTTAGAATTTTCATTAAAAATAATAGCTTACTGATAGAAAAAGTAACAACTCTCTTATAACACGAATTTGTTCAGGAATTGGCATTACATTACTTTTAAGAGTGAAGCAGCCGGGGATTTAGCTCAGTGGTGCTGCCACCTGCCTCGCAAGTGCAAGGTCCCAAGTTCGATCCCTGGTATCAAAAAATATATATATATCGGGCCAGCGATTTAGCTCAGTGGTTCTGCCACCTGCCTTGCAGGTACAAGGTCCCAAGTTCAATCTCTGGTACCAAAAAAAAGAGTGAACCAAATCTGGCACGTTTTTGGTTGTTTTAGAGTACTGAGGTACATTCCCAGCCCTTTTATTCTTTTTTAAAAATTTTCAGACAAGGTCTCCCTATACAGCCCAGGCTGGCCTTGAGCTGCTTGCTCTCCACCCTCCTGGCTCTGCTTCCTGAGTAGCTGGGATCACAGGCGTGCACTACACACCCAGCGCCCACAGGTTTTCTTATATGGATCGGCTCCTCAGCACGCTCACTGCACATCAGCTTTCTACCATCCACAGGAAACCAATATCTGCAACTGCTTCTGACCAGGGGAGAGCTAACAGGCAGCAAGAGAATGCCTATTATGGGAAGCAGCATTTCTCCCAGCCAAGGTCTCTGTCACTCTACAAATAATCAAAATTAGCATCTTCAAGTCTATTCTATCTGAAAAATTCTGGAAGTAATTATGTGCATGCAGGGGCTACAGTGATTAGTTCTGCTTCCTGTCTTGTGGCTAGTGGGCTTGAACTCCTGAAATCCTGCTCTGATCCTGGGGGGCTACCTGGGACCCAGGATCTGGACTCTGCCCACCTCCCCAGTGCAGAGAACCCTTTGGGTGAGCCCCCAGAAGACACAGCATGCACTACAAGGGTGCCTGCAGCAATGCCCCCACCCAAACCTGAGCAGCCACAATCTCCACACAGCTCAACCCTGGGAGCCCTCAGGCAAACACCCTCAGCCCAATGCTGACAGCAGGGCATCAATACCCGAAGGCCTTCTTCTGGTTGCTTCTTGAAGCTCCGTGCCATGGATTCCAACATTTTCTGAAACACTTTCTGGACTGTGTCAAACAGCACTGGAACTTCTTCACCTGAATCTCTTTCCTGAATCAAGGAACTTCCAGTGAGCTCTTTCAGAATGCCAAGAAGTAATGACACATAAAAAAATCCTTTTACTAGAAAGAAAATGAGAAAAATCAGTTATAAATGGCATAACTAGTTGAAAAATCTTACTACATGCAATAGCAAGTTAAAAGAAATTATTACCATGAGCCAATATAACACTAGGTTGATCAACTGATCTACATTCTAACCTAATTAAAAAGTTTCCTTCATTTAAGTATAAACCCAACACTCCCAGGAGCAGTAACACCAAGTTGGTACTTTGTTCATTGTACCTGTAAACACACAGCAATTTGGTCGTGACTCCTAGAATATCTGAATTATTTCTGTCTCTTTTGAGGAAAGTCAACAATCAGTTACCAAGAGGGATAACCAAGAGGGCCTGAGAGCTCCCAAAACTTAATGTATCTCACAGAGGAACTATGAAATTTCTAACACTTGGGAGTAGCTTACTGGTTGTCTCTCTCTTCCAAATAATCAACTTGTGCTCTGCATTCTGCCTCTCAAGGCTGTGGGAGCTCATAGGACATCACTAAGTAGAGGAAGCTGTCAGTCTAGCAGAAGGAGTCTGGGTTCCCATGGCTCTTCCAACATGGGATCTGCCAATGAGCAAGCAGCTCAAAAAAAAAACAGGATGTCCTGTGAGCTGAGGGCCATCTTGTGCTGTCCCCATCCTGTTCATGGCTGGTCTTGGTCTCCAAGATGCAGCAGCCTCAGCCTGCCTGACATCCCTCCACATCAATTTCCTTCACCTTTTCATTAAGACAAAGTCCTACATTTAATATAATCTTATTTTTTACGAACTTAACATTCCTTTTTATTTGTGCTGATACTTTTTACTAGGAAGTCTTCTTTTTCCAAGATCGCAGTTATTTTTAGTGCTTGATATTATAGAATGCATGGTATTTTTCAAAACATACATATATGCAGTTTTTGTTGTTTTTTGTTTATTTTTGGTTTGGTTTGGGGTTTTTTGGTAATGTTGGGGATTGAATCCAGGGCCTCATGCATGCTAGATCAAGTGCCCTTCCACTGAACTATGCCCAGTACAATATTGTGTTAAAGCAGGAACATCCACACATTTCTGAGCCTGGCTTCTAGCATGTGGACTATGGGCTGGGCCATCCCAGTTGTGTTCTAGAAATACCTCTTGGGTTTTTTTTGGGTTTTTTGGGGGGTACTGGGGATCAAACTCAGGACCTTGTGCTTGCCAGGCAGGCGGTGGAACCACTGAGCTAAATCCCCGGCCCCTAAATGTTTAGATTTTCTTTTTTTTGGTACCGGGGATCGAACTCAGGACCTTGTGCTTATGAGGCAGGCGCCGGAACCACTGAGCTAAATCCTTGGCCCGAATACCTCTTGTTTAGTACCCATTTCAGCGTGGAGGATGTTCCAATATAACGACTATAAAGGAACTAATTTCTTTTTTTTTCTTTTCTAGCTTTTTGAGACAAGGTCTCACTATGTAATTCAGGCTGACCTTGAACTCATGGATCCTCCCACCTCAGCCTCCTTAGTGCTGAGATTAGGCCTGCACCACCACACCCAGTGAAGAACTAATTTCTTAAATAAAAATGGTTTCTATATTAGAACTCTTTCACTTAGGGCAAAAAGTCCAGCAAATAAGTAGATTCTGGGTCTATCTGGCTGTAAACTGTTAATTATGTCCCCAGGTACATTGTGACAGCTATGGAATGGCTACACAGTGTTCTCATTCTGGAAACCCTGGTTATTGGAATGTGTAAAGATAAAGGTCACATTAGTTTGGTCACAGGTCAAGGGAGTAGTTTTGGGCCTTATTTGGAGGAAACATAACACCATATGACAAAACTGGCTCATGGGAGACCTACAATTCTAGTTAGCTGCTCAGAGGAGTAAATTCTATAAATACCAAAAGAAAAATCATTCCTACATAAGTTTCAAAAATTATAAAAAAAAGTCATCTGGACTGTTTTAATCATTAAGCTCAAGTATAAAATGCAAATTTTCATAATAAAGTGTTTAAACAAAGAAAAGCTAGACTCTGAAACAAATATTGGTTCCACTTAATGTTAACCTTCAACTTTGGACATTTTAAACATGAATAATCTTCCTTGTAATCAAAGACTAACTTAAGGATGTTGACCAAGGTCCCAGTGCCAGTGCTTCCAAAGCACCAGTGTGGGGAGGACACAAGACCCTCTCGGGTCTGCAGAAAGATGCTCAGACCAAGGGAACAAGATTGCAAATGAACTATTACCCAACCAGATTACCAAACCTAGCTCCCTTGGGATGTCACTCTCAGTCTCCTCTAGAAAACCTCTAGGCATAAAGGAATGTAAATCTCAGATGCTGACATTTCCCAGGTCTCAGTACCTGGGATGTATAGTAAAAATCACCTAGAAATAGCCCACATCACAGAGGACCAGGGCTGGAGGCTGGTGGTTAGGAAGTAGGGTTGGAGGTTAAGGATTGGTGGCCCCTAAGGGTGAGGGATCAGGGTTCAGGATGGAAGTCACAGCCAAGCTATTTCCTTCCTGGTCAGAGTCTGATCAGAAGGTGATGGAGACCTGGCACCAGTACTAAATGAGGTGCCCTCCTGGGCCATATCACAAGTGCCCCTTCCTTCAGGACCCTAAGTGGCTGCCCTTTCACTCCCTCACGGAGCACCCAAGGAGCCAATGTGGCATCATTACTAGTTGCCATGGGTGACCCATGCTACCCCTTTTCCTTGGCCCAGGGAAGGGGGTCATTACCCAACAACTCCCAACTCACCCCACCCTCAGCAGCACAGGCTAGAGAGGACTAATCAAGGCTCCTCTCTAAGGTTCCTTACAGAGATGCCAGGATGGGGAAATTTAGCCTGGCAATGAAATAGATCCTAGGGAGAAGCAGAATCCCAAGGACCTCGTCAGAAACTGGATAGTCATGCATGACCCCAGAAACACCTCTGAACATGCTGGCTGTACCAGCCAATGCTCTTCTAGTATAAGGTGGTTTCCATCACGTATCTAACACTGGTCAGCTAGAGTCCTGATCCACAAAGTAAGAGAAGGCTTTGACTTATTATTCTAAGAGTCCTTTTATGGATGGTGTACACTGTACCTGTTTGCATGACTGTAAGACTCCGCTGCAGAAGCTGTATCTGAAACTTTAGATCTCCAAGGCCGACCATGACAACATCTTTACACACAGTCAGGTAGGTCTGTAAGATGAAGGTGGGGTTATCAGCAGAGGCCATTAAGAAAAGAGCTATGCAGGCCCAACAAAGCTGCTCCTACATGGTACACTAGCTATCCCAGACCAAACATTTACACTCTCATTTTTGTCTCTCCATAAGAAATCTAGAGACATATTTTATGTAATTCCACCAATGAAACACCTAGCACATACAATGTGTAAAATTAGATTAAAACCACACAGTCTATGCTTTGTGAAAAACTCTAGATATTTAAATGCCACTATGAATATTTTAAAAAGACTAACACCGAGGTGTAAAATTACACTCTGAAAGAGAAAAGGCAATCGTGCACACCAAACACATGGTCAGAACCAAGGACCCACAGCCCACAGTGCTGACCTGGATGATTTGCTGATAGACAATCCTGTGGAGCTTCAGGTGTTCTTCTTCTTGGTCTTGAATTAAAGACAAAACTTTGCTTTCTAACCAAAACCCAGTGTTTTCCAAGACAGATAGATGGACTTTCCCTTCTGAGGAGAACTGTTCAATGCAACCACAGAGAGGTGTATCAGTGACAAAAATGGCCCTGACATAAGCTGTCCATGCCAGGAGGGATGCAACGCACCTTGTGCTCAAGATGGACGCTCAACCGGCAGTGGAGGCTGAAGGCTTGCAGGGCAGCAGACTCACTGAAGTTTGGGGGCTTCCCACCTGGTGACCGCAGAAATGACTCCAGGTCTGCCTGCAATAATGTCACAACCTCAGGAACACATTCTGATCCCATGTCACCACAACAGGAGGCACCTGACTACAGGCAAACCAAGACACCTGCTCAGTGACACCTGCCCCACCATCTGTGCACCCGACAGCAGCCTAGGGTGGCTGGAGGCACACAGTTTGGGAGCAGGTCGCTAGGCAACAGTGCTCTTTTGCAGACCCCATCTTGAGCCTGGCTGTGCTGCACAACCACACAGAGTGGCAGTAGTGATAGTGCAGGAGGGAGGAAACAGAACTTCACAGGGTCCTGGGGCCCCATGAATTCACACCAAACACTCTCCAAGACTCTTGGAAAGACCTGCTGAGTACTCTGAAGGGAGCTGGTGTTTCACCACTGATGGGCAGAACTTGTGTGTAACAAGTCTTCCCGAAGATGGTATCCTCTGAGAGGCAGGAGACCAGACAGGTCCGATGTGGGCTCTATCCCCTTCTATGAGTAGACCAGGGCTGGGAAGTGGCTCAGCTCCCAGGCTTACTGCTGGCTCAGTAAGCTTGGGGATTGTACTGTTCTCATGTCCTTTCCAACTCAGAACCTGTTACAGCAGCTCTACTTTCAGGGCACAAAGTTACCTTTGACAACTCAAGTGCTTTCAAAAGTTGGCTGAGTTTCCTCCGGGGTGCGGAGAGCAGACACTCTCGATTCTTTGGATGGGTTAGCAAGTACTCCATGTAAACCAGGGCCAATTCAGGCTTCACTGGGCATGTGTCCTGGATCTGCACTTTACGCTTATTCTGAGGAGGGTACAGGACAGGCAGACAGTTGGAACTTGAATTCCCAGGAGAGAATGAAATTTCCAATAGACATTGTCCCTCCTTGCCAGCCTCCACAGAGAGTCCACACGCACCTTGGCCTGGGGCTGCTCCCCCGGCAGCCAGTCATCGATGAGCTCCAGGACATGCCCCACTTGTCCCCAGGAGCACAGGCAGTCCAGCAAGGTGCAGTAGCTCTTGTCTGCAGTGCCCTCCTCCTGGCTCCTCAAGGTGGAGATCACCCCACAGCTGAGAATGCCAAGTACATAAAACCAAGTTCACATTTCAACAGCAAGACCACCAAAGTGAGGAAAACCAAAGAGCAAAAAGCTCAGGTGTACAGGTTCCTCTTACAACCTTAACACCATGACATCCCCCCAGAGCAGGAACACATGTTCCTCTTGAAACAACACATGGAGAGCTGCTTTTGAAAGCACTGAAAGACCAAGAACCCCAAACACCCAGCCCTTTATTTCTGCCACCCATATTTCTGTGCCATCTCTTTCAGGTTCTACAGCAAGAGTTCCTAATTCCAGGCATTCATTTTTTAGGGGCACCAAAACATTTATTTTTGTTTTTGTTTGTTTTAGTAAGTCATTTTTACTGAGGTAACCAAACCACTAGAGCCAGTGTCCAACAGAAATTAATATGCAAAAGGATGAGAAAAGAGATGGGTGTGGTCCAATGGCAGGACACTAGCCTAGCAGACACAAGGATAGCACTAAAAAAAAAAGAAAAAAATAGTATGCAAATCTGGCATGTAATTTAAATTTTTAGCACCCATATTTTAAAATGTAAAGAAAAATAAGTGAAATGAATTCACTAACATACTTTAACCCAATCTATCCAAATCATTTTGGCACATAGTATTTAGCATTCTCCCTTTCACACTGGGACTCTGATTCCTTATGTGTTTTGTGCTCAAGGCACAGCTCAATCCAGAGCCCTCGAGCACTCAGAGCCACCCACGGCCTCTCAGTCTCACCACACCAGGTGTTAGAACAACGTGCAGATTTTTAAGCACAGTTGTAGCCTTGGACCCTCAGGGTCCCTCCTTCCTTACTCAACAGCCCCAGAGCTCACCACAAGCCCATTCTGCCACCCACACGGGAGGGCTCTGGAGTGAAAGCTCAGTATGGGCAGTCAGGGACCCAGCCAGTGCCACAGCCAAGATTCTGCCACACTGCAGCATACCTGAATGGTGGGACGGCAGATGCTGGCAGGAAGGACGTCAGCATGAGCAAAGGGATCTTGCAGCGATCATCCTAGAAGCATAGAGCAAAACAGAATCCGTGACACTCTCAGACTTTCTGGAAGCCTCTCCTCATGACTTCCAATCATCTATTCCCCAAGTCCCGCAGTCAGTCAGCGTTCCTAAACCTCAATATTGCAACAAGGAAGCAAATTAAGCAGATTTCAATTGTTGAGAGTTCCCCAAGAATAACCCACAAGAAACACTCTTGCTTGGTAGAATGAAGGCATGGTGAATTCTAAAGGAAAAAGAAATGATTTTCCTGAAAATATATGTGAAACAGAAACAGCAGCAAAACCAAAATCTGATGTTTTCTTCATCTGTATTTGGTTAACTAACCCCTGGCCCTCAACTCCCAACAGAGACAAGATTCATTCTTAATGCTGCAAGGAGATTGAGGTGTAGCTCAGATCCGCTGCTTCAAGGGAAGGGACACAGGTGCCCCAGCTCCTAAAAGCAGAGAAGCCAGCTCACAAACACAAGATTAACTGACTACTGCCCTCTGATCCTAGAAAGCCTGCACCCTGCTTATCTGCTCTCCTAGCCCAAGTGGTGGGCTTGGTCACCTTCTGGAATTTCTGAGGTATTGCTGGTTTCTCAATCCACAGTAATAAGCTGCATTTTAAAATTTACTAGTGAAATGTCTGTTCATTTCAGATGTCCATTTTTGAATTGGGTCTTTGAATTTGGGGGGTCTGATTTTTTTCAATTCCTTATATATTCTAGATAGTAGCTCTTTGTCTGAGGTACAGCTGCTAAAAATATTTTCCCATATTGTAGGTTGTCTGTTAACTCTGTTGGTGGTTTCTTTTGCAGTGCAGAAGCTTTTTAATAAGATATCCCAGTTGCTGATTCTTTCTGCTAGTTCCAGTGCTGCTGAGGTTTTGTTCATGAAGTATTTTCCTATGCCAATGTCTTCAAGAGTTCTACCTAACTTATCTTCCAGCAAGTTTAGTGTTTCTGTCTTAAT